AGGTGGGCGGGTGGGTGTTGAGGGTCGGGTATGGAGGGTGGGTTGAAGGGCCGTGACGGAGGGTCTAGGATGAGGGAGGTGAAGGCTCCGGTGGGTACTGGGTGAATTGGCGGTGAGAAGGGAGGAGACAGGGTCCATCCAGCATCATCCCCTTTCTCTGCTCTTCCGAAGAAAATGGAAAGAAAGGAAGATGGATGGAATGGCGCTAGGGGATGATAAGGCGGATCGCAACCCCTGGAGGATATGGAACTGAGTGGTGGTGGTGGTGCTGTTGTTGCTGTTGGTGTTGGGAGTCACCGTGTCAGGATGCGATCCTTGCTGGCACAAGGACACTTGCCACCTTATAGCCATCGACCTACCCTTACCTCTCTTACAGTACTTCTCTTAGATACTAGCCTTATATCCTGTATGGACTCTGCTGGGTAGTCTCTGTGTGGCTCAAAATGAAATTACCTTTTTTTTCTCGTTATCTCTATTCTACTAAAAATCTTGCTGGTCAGGTCTTTCTTGGACGTGGCAGATTGGAGATTCTAATAAATTTTCTATGGGCCGGATCATCCTGTAACAGCTGGGGGTTCACTGCTCTGTAGTCGCTGGTACCGATTCTCTTGAGTATCTCGACCCTCTGCCTGATTGACGATTAATCGGCTAGATGAGCTTCAACGCACTCCCAAGTCGAGGACTGGCATGGGTACTGTTTGTGAAGCATTCATTAGCACGGTGCTTGGATGCGAAGTCGATGCACGATGAACGAGCAGAGGGAGGAAGGTTGAGAATTTCCTGGCTGCTCCTGTAAATCGGATCTCCTTGGAATTACTGTGCTCGCTTAGACGGCGTCGCTTAGTGTTTTAATTGCTCTTTGGACGCCCACGAAGTTAATGAAAGGCTTGTGGAGTCTGTGAAAGAAAAAATAGTCGATTACGCAACGTTAAACTCGCGTGTTAACGACCGCGAATGAGCTTTTATTTACCTGGTTGTAAAGAATTATGCGGTATATAACGTTCTTGGTAGATACTATTTTAGTAGCCACTGTTACTCGTGCTTTTGTCATAAGTGGCGAATCACTTCACAAACGGTCGTTGTTCGAGTCCCTGATCACACAGTAGCCCTTGTTAAATTGAGCATCAGCCAAGTGATTCACGTTGATTACTCGTTTAATGGCGTCGCGACGTATATAACTTTTCTTATTGCAAAAATCGTGTCCCGCAGTTCGTTCTTGTGTAAAGTTTTGTGAATTGGGTATGACAATGATTAGATGCAGTGATATAGTGCGAGAAAAAGATATAAAGAAATAATCTGGAACATCGTTGATACTTTATCCCTTTGTCAAGGAAGGTTGGTAACAGCTGTGTTAGTCATTGTCGTAGACGGTCTAAAAGGACGCTCCGAGTATATACCGCACAGGCGGGCATAACTAACCCCTCGAAGAATGTTCGGCCTTCAAAAACAGAGGAGGAACGCAGGGCGAGGTTCATGGCGAGCCATTTAACGGTCTTTGCGAAATTGAGTCATCACGCGGTTCTCCTGGAATCTCGGATATTTTCCTCCCGATGCTCGAGCTCGCCAGCCCTCGGTAGCTTCGTCCTGGTTCACTGCCGCTCCGCCGCTTCTATCTGCTGCTTTACCACCAGGCAAAAGACCTTAAGACCATCTACATTGATGTACCTTGAGTCGAGGTATATCCAGTGATTGCAAGAAAAATCTTATCCACGTTAGAGCTAACTGACGTGCCTTTATATATTTCACGTGAAAATTTTCTATTGTTCTTCTGGCTTTATACGTCGTCGATTTGAATCCGTCTTGAGTCGTTTGCTTACGTAGTTCTCCGGCGTCCCGAGGAGTGTCGCCACTGTCGACGTATGCACGGACTCCGCGCGCTGCTCTCACGGCTTGATATTTATTAAAGCGATAAGTATGAATTAACCTCGGGTCACCCGGGCGAAACAATCGTGCTGTGTAGTGTCTGCCCTTATCGCCAAAACGACGTGATGCTGTCAGGTCAGTAGTGGAGAAAAGTCTGGCATAAGAAATCCACTTGTGGCATTACGATAATGCCTTGTACTTGGGATTCCTTTAGGTTATGCTATGCGCTATTACCTTCTTTCTTATCCCCGTCGACTGTTGCCTGCGATACTTCAGTTAAGTGGATCTGGAGGATACCCATCGATTCGACTAGCTTTATGGATAGACAAGTCGTGAGTACTTTTTGAACAAGGCTTATGACCAGTTGTGAATTATTAAATTGCAGCCATGAAATTGCATCCTTCGTACAGAAGATGTAGAAGGGACGCTTATCGTCGTCTGGCTATATACCTCAGGTAATTCGACTGGAAACTTCTACGTTCATACGAAATAAGTTATTCAGTACGATTTCGCGACGGTATCGTCACGAAATGTCATCCGAACTTTCAGCCTTGTCGTTCCCTGTTTTACATAGATTCTTATTATATATACCTGGATACACTTTCTTCAAAATCAAAAATATCGTACGTTGCTTTATTGAACTGAATCGTATGTCAAAATCATATCCTCTGTCGTATTAACAGGCAGTAGCGGTTAAATAAAATTATCAATAATCATATTGATCGTAAAATATCTTTAATCTTAATAGAAATAATGAAGAATCGCTGCTTTCTTTTTATTTTATTTTTAGTTACATATTCGAAACGGCAAACGATGCTTCCTGAATTGTTAAAAATTTATCTCGTCACGTACTATACCACAGCCTCCATATCGCCGCGTTCCCGACGTCGCGCTTCGTTAGAAATTCCTCGGGGAAAAGAAAAGTTTCACTAGAACAGAGTCTGGGCCGCCTGGAGACACGTTTGACTTTACCTCTCTGTCCCCCTCCGTCCCTCTTTGCAAAATGGACACCTCGTTATTAAAAGCTATCCGGCCACTCTCTGGCGTGTTTATAGCCGACAACTTGAACATTGTTAAAAATTTTTGATATATTATCGATTTAACATTCCTCGTCGAGTCTCCAGTCTCTCCAATCGCTAGTCCCTTTCCCTTCCGTCCGTTCGACTTATCGCACCCAAGGATTTACATGCAGAAGAAAATGGAAGGAAACGAAAAATCTGAGAAGCCGTTACAGGCCACGTATTAATTTTTTTAAATCAATTTTCCCGTATCAATTTCTTTGAAAAAAAAAATATATAAATAGTGTACCTGTATAGTACAGCCATTCTTTCTTCAATATCGACCAGCAATATTCAGTCGTTTTATTAACGTGGTGGGCGAGTGTCAATGGCCCGTCTTTTGAAAGATTCAAATAATAGAAAGGTGTATTCTCATTGTACGTTAATTTCGAGCGTCGACGAATGGACTCGTCACATGTGCAATTTTATGTATCCCGACGTCACGTGACGGTCGATTCGTAACCGCCATCGACTACGGGCGTAACTTTAATTGCGTCACATTTGATGCAGCGCACAGGCGCCCGGGTTTACGGCGTTGCCGACCGTAAAACCTTAACAGCTGTGAAGTCTAGGCTGATAAGGGTACCGTGTAGAATGTTGTTTATATGGCTGTATACGTTCTAGGTATGTATACAATGTATATGCACGTACATAAATGGCGACCGATTCATTGGCATAGTTACAGCTCGATAAACCCGGACATTGTGCAAGTCGTGTATTTATGTCCACTTTGAAAATTATTTTTCATCGTTACACAATTGACAGTGTGCTTTCGCGAAGCACGTGTGACACTCGTTCCCGCCTTTTTTGTAAATTCCTGCAATATTATGATTATACAAAGCTTGGTAGACCTAAAGAAGGATCGAGGAAATTGACTGATCGTAAATGAATTACGAATACGATGAGAGGCCAAATTTTGTATAATTGAAAATACTTGAAGGACTTTACCAAGAAGAAAAATACAACTTTGTCAAATTTATTTCTCAATTGATTTTTTTTTCGTAATATATAATTTGTCTATATCCAATGGAAAAATTTGTATATACGTATTCGGCAGAGAATTTCATTTACACTGCTATCCCAATCTTGGACGGAGTTTTACGAACACTTAAAAGGCACTCAATCACTGTAGGATTTCACAGCGGATTTCGGAACCCTGAAGAAACAATATTAAGAGTGTCTCACAGTGACGAAGCTTGCCGCCTGATCCCCTAAGGGATATAAAGTCAACGTGTAAAAGTAGCAGCAGCAGCAATAAAGACGAAACATAGACGTAGAATCGTATATTTATTTAACGGTATTTTTAAGTGCACGAAACCGCGTCTGTTTAACGTCAGTCAAGATCTTCGGTTCGCCTTGTTTCTTTCTCGATTCTAGTAGAAATCCAACCTAGCCGTATCTAGTAAGACGATCATACCTCGTATACATCGTTGTTACACGTAGCGCCAAGAGCATTAACGTGCCAGACACTTGAACTATTTATTTTTTAATTCCACGGGAAGCCACCGGCGCGCTGGGGTGCCAAATACGTCGCTGGACATAATTTATGTCGTTGCCAACGTCTCTAAATAAATAAATAAGCACTTTACACGCGATACGACTTACCTAATTCTGTCAATTCGACCAGCCACGCTTCCTAGTCTTAATGGCGGCTGGAACGTTTCCAAATCAGGATCCGGAGCTCAGAAAAATAACAGGCCAAGGTCTTTACATTTTCTCTCCTACGTATCGTCACTAATTATAATGTAGATTTTTTTTTTTAGGGAGTATAAAAGACACTAGTTACACTTCCTTGTTGTTTACTCTTACCTGGCGTAATTTATCGTCCAGTCAAAACAGACTGAAACCTGATTACGAGATTAAATCCATTTCGTTTATACGTATATCGATCTTTATGAGCGTAAAATTTTTCAACGTCAAAATATTGCCTTTTTTTCACTCATTAATATTTTTGGCATTAGTCGACGACTTTCAAGATTCCTAAAATTTGTCCGGATCATTCGATCGCTATATGCATTGTGTGTAAAGTTGCGACGTAATAGCTTTATTCATCTGACATTCCCGTTTGACATTTTTCAGGTCGCAACGAGCTGATCGCACGTTACATCAAACTGAGGACCGGTAAGACGAGAACGCGAAAGCAGGTCTCCTCTCACATACAGGTCCTGGCGAGGAGAAAATTGCGGGAAATTCAAGCAAAATTGAAAGTGGTAAGTAAAATCATATATTTGACCCAGGAAACGAGAAACTCGATAACAATAAAACTAGTCGAACGATTTTTCTGTCAATTTAATTTTTTCTTTCTTTCTGCCGCGCACATCATTTTTCCATTTTATTTGTCTTTTTCTATCAACCCCGTAACCCCTACTTTTCGTTACTGCCGGAAAACTGGTCTTACGCGAAAGCCACGTAATCAAATGCCACCAAACTCTCTTACGTCCAATCCTTATTTTCACCTACCTCGTGGAATCTCGTACGATTATAATTTCTCTTTATTTCTATTTTTTTTCTCTCTCGCCGCCAATCTACTACGGAATTCCAATAACCATGCGAAACTTGGAGGAACCAATCGTTCGAAATGCTTGTGGATAAATCACACGTAAAAATGAACTCTGCCGTGTTTAATCAACAGCTGAATTATTAAAGCAATTCGCCGACGATTGTGCTTCGGTTAATAAATCAAAGCGTGCAGTTTCGTTCGGTGGTTTCGCCGTTTGCTCTTTGTACAAAATGGGTGATTGGGACTGTTGCGTTATACCCATGTATACATATGGCTACCCGGTACGCTATGTACTTTTGGATATATGCGCTACAGATAATATGCATATACGCATACGTATATGTATATACTACATATGAGATTCGTACGTGAAAAGAGGTTGGGGATGTTTTGCGTGTATTTTACTGTGTTAAACCGCCGCTACTGCAGTGCCGCATGCCACGGACATTATTCACTAAACCAGTTCGCATTCGAGCCGGACCCGGTGAGACGTAATTTTTTGGATTCCGCATCCGGACAAAGTCGCATCGCCAAATTAACGGGATTTTCGACCGCTGATCGTAATAAAGAAAACCATGTTTTTTTTTGCTAATCGTTTTTTTTTTAAATCATTTATCAGTATCGTATTTGATTCGCGTTCAATTGGACAAATCGAATGAAATTTTTTTTTGAAAAAATAGGTAATTCTTTACAATCGGAGGTAACGGGGACTAGTGAAATTTGAATGGATAGACATTTATGCTACGAGTCCTTTTTGATATAGGAATTTATTCGCAATACCCGGATAATTTGCAAAATATATTTCGTCGGATTATACATTATTTTTCCTTTTTATTATAATTTTTTTTCCTAGCTTTTTTGGCTATTTTTTTTTTTTTTGGCGCAGCAGTCAGAATCGAATCAATCGTATGATTATTGGTATTTTTTTTATTTTTCCCTACCCGCACACTTTTTTTTAAATTTTACGCCATTCCTGAACCCGCCAGGTACGTCGATCGATATACCGATTATATTTGCGAAAATATTATACCAACCGCGCGTAAATCGGAGCCCGGGTGCCTTTATCGTGCGGTACTCGCGTTTACGAGAGTTCGCTGGCTCGAACGGGTGAGCGATAATACGCGAGGAAAATATTAACGTCATTCAAACAGGTATTTGCGAATTATATTTCACGTACGAGAGGTCGAAATTTTGCAGAAATAGGTATTGGGTCAATCAAGTGAAAAAGCGTTCGGGAGCGGCTAGCGTGTAGATCGAATGTACAAAATGTAGAAAAATATTATGTCAAACGCAGTATAGGACGTATGAACTTCTAGAACCTTTCGTCAAAAGAATATTCACGCGCAGCTTCAACCACTTAATAAATCCACATGAATATTCAAAATTTATTCGATACCTCTAAACGCATATTTGTCGAAGGTAATTGAAACATTTATTTTTCAATCATTTTTATTTATTCAACAAAATACATTCGCAACCACCGATAGTACGTACATGGATCTCGTAATAGATACATAGATCCCGACTGTGCAGACTTTGTACATTTTTGAAAAAAAAAATATACATATATATAAAATTCCAAAATTTACCCACGAATCAGTCAGGCTCACGTATCGGTTACGTAAATCGTTTGAAAGACTAATTCGTTACACCCTGAACATGTATAGCAGCGACAGTTCAAATCGCAACGCTGGCTATAACGTTGGCTGCTTCCGTCAGCGATTTCCGGTCGACGCGAACTTCCCTCGAAACGGGGCTTTGCTGACACTCGACTCTGGGTCGTTTCCCCAAATTTAATTGACAGACTAGAAATTCGATTTTACGCTCCGATGCCAGCAGCCAAAGTATTAAATACAATTTAAACCGTATGGCAATGGCCGTTATATCGAACGTACTATAGAATTCTTAAATCCCGACCAACGTGCAAATCTTAGCACGCAAAGTATGCTATTGCTAAATTTTTCTATGGAAAAGAAAAAATTGGTCTTGAACTTTTTGTAGAGAAAAAAAAAAACAAAAAAAAACATAGAGCCACGATCAAAATTTTCTACTGGGTAATCGGCTATTGAAAATTTGTTAGGATCATGCCGCGAAGGAGAAGGCCCTGCAGACAATGTCGAGCATGTCCAGTGCCCAGATAGTATCTGCTGGGACTGCGATACACAACAAGATGCCCCCAGCTATCGTGGGGCCCTTAGCCCTTCATGCCTCCAACCCCGTCTCCTATCCTGGAGCGGTAAGTCCCAAACACCGGCGGAACCCTTGAATGACACTGCCAAAAGAAAGAATTGGAGCTTCGCATCCTAATAATAATAAAAAAAAAAAAAAATTGATAAAAAAAGATTATGAGATACGATTGCCGTTACATTGATAAGGCAATCGAATGACCTATGGATAATATATTTTTAATTGTATATAGGTATATATATATATATGTAGATTATATACAGCGCTTATCCTTATCTCGAGACACTTCAAACTGTTCCGACTCGCAATCACGTATCTCATCCTCTTGGGGAGTCAATGATTAATTTTTCATTGGGAAACTATCAAAATTGTCTGATGCCTTTATCATTATTGTTATCATTATTATTATATTCGTGTCAGATCCCCATAACCCGCTTTACAATAATTCATGCACGATTCGCGCGAATCGCTGATATCTTTTTTTTTCTTCTTTTTTTTTTTGCCAAACTTCATCCTCTTGCAGCTTTCACGCATTATGCATCCAACAGGTCCTCAAGGAGGTCCTCCCCTCCTTTTCACACGACCTTTGACCCCCCATCTTAATCTGTGGTAGAAATAAAATTCCTTTTTAAAATTTTAATGATGATAATAATAATAATAATTAACGGGACTTTCGCCGTAAGAATGAAAAAGGAAGCTGTGACTATTTCGCTGATTAACGCTACCTCAGGAGATTCATTCATCTCCCTTCAACACCCCTCACGCTCCTCCCCCTCGTCCCCTTCATCACACTTCCATCGAAGTGGATCTCTCGCAATGACTCTCTTGGATGTGTTTTTGGGAGTAGCTTTGAAAAATTGTGCTTTTATAACGTGCGAGCGACTAACTGCGTCATGGAGGAATGACGGTCCCAGCAGGCTAAGGCCCCTGGGGGGCCCTTGTTGTGTATTGTCAAATTGTCCATTTACTTGGCCGTGATATCGTCGATGTTGCTTAAAATTTTCGTTTTTTTTTCTTCTCTTGTACTTTCTTTTCCTCCTGATACGTAACTTTTACTTTCTATTTGTGTTCATTTACTACTTCATCTTTCATGGACCATTTTGTACGTCTGTACGATGGTTTCAGTTTCTTTCTGTTAATTTACTTAACTCAAGAAAATAGTAACGGGGGTGCGACGAGCGAAATCCTGACTACAGCTTTTGGACGGCCGGTAGTTTAATTGAAGAAACTTTGTAAAATTATGCAGTTTCACATACTTATCTTGAAGTATGTGCTCGCCCTGAAACGTAATCCGGTATTTAAGCGAATCGCACCTTTGATAAGCTTAGTGTTTTTTTATTAAAAAAAAAAAAGAAAAAAAAACTTAAAGTTTATTTTATCTGTTGACAGCAATTTTGGCAGCCTGGTTTGCAGCCGGGCACATCGCAAGATGTCAAACCGTTCCCACAACCGACCTACACTGGAAAACCAGCAACAGCTGTGTCGAGCGGTGACATGGTCCAGGCACCTCCACCACCACCCTGGGAAGGACGTGCCATAGCCACGCACAAGCTCAGGCTCGTGGAGTTCTCTGGATACATGGAACAGCAAAGAGATCAAGACATTGTGAGTGATTAGATCTTTCGATGGAATTAAAAGAATCCTATGAAAGTCTGTTTCAACGTCAGACTCTGTAGAGTTTACCAGAGAGAACATAACCTGAAGTATGAAGTCTCCTACGGAAATTAACGTTCTTTGTGTTCAGTCTTGAAAGACTTAAAGTGTAAGAAAGAAAAAAGAAAAGCGAAACAACTTTAATAAAACGTATTCTTTATATTTCAGTACCACAAACACTTATTCGTCCACATAGGAGGCTCTGCGACCTACGCCGATCCCCTCCTGGAGGCCGTGGACGTAAGGCAAATATACGACAAGTTCCCAGAGAAGAAAGGCGGCCTCAAGGAGCTCTACGACAAGGGTCCTCAGGCTGCTTTCTTCCTCGTTAAGTTCTGGGCGGACCTTAACACTAACATTCAGGATGAAGCTGGTGCTTTCTATGGCGTTACAAGCCAGTAAGGGTTTATCAGATTCAATCAGATAATACATAAAGTCTCCATTTATATTTTTCATTTCATCCGGTAGCTCCTAACAAGTCGATTCCACTTGTGTGAGAAAGTCTTGAGAAAAAAATTTGTAAAACTCTCACCCACCATAATAGATATACTTTATTGTACAGATACGAGAGCAACGAGAACATGACGATAACGTGTTCGACGAAGGTATGCTCGTTCGGCAAGCAGGTGGTGGAGAAGGTGGAAACCGAATACGCAAGGTTTGAAAATGGGAGGTTCGTCTATCGCATCAGCCGTTCACCAATGTGCGAGTACATGATAAACTTCATTCACAAGCTTAAGCACCTCCCAGAGAAGTACATGATGAACAGCGTATTAGAAAACTTCACCATTCTCCAGGTATCTACCGATTCAATCTCGTTATTTACATATGCAAAGAATCATTGAGCTTCGAGGATACCACTCTGGGCATTCTCATTCGTATTTCTTCATCGATCGACTTACTTACTATTTTCTCTTTACTTTCCAGGTTGTCACGAACAGGGATACGCAGGAGACGTTATTGTGTACGGCGTATGTGTTTGAAGTTTCGACGTCCGAACACGGGGCGCAGCATCACATATACAGACTGGTCAAGGACTAGCCTGCTTAACCTGCTCGCCATGCAGCCATCCACCCCCATCAGTGCCTACCACACGACTCATCCATACATGAATATATTCACATATATATTATATTATATATATTTACACACAAAAACACACATAGATACACTCAAGTACACTAGTGAAGACGCTACAAGATATACACGTTTTATGTACACTATTTCTAGGGATTCTCTATGGATGATGTTCCCATTTGCTTCCACGTCGAAAGTGAAAGTGGTACCGGGCTTGATTTTTATTCATTAATATTTAGCCTGATGCGAGTCTGTTGTGAGACTTCAAATTCGTATCGGATACGTTTATGAAATTTCTTTTCTTTTTTTAGATGAGAGAAAATCGGACAAATTCGTATTTTTTCCATTTTTTTTTTACACTGGATAATTTATGTTACAGATTCGAGGTTGATCGTGATTCAATTCTATTTTTTTTAAAAATAGTTTCTTGTATGACATTAATATTGACGAAAGTGGCTTGCTCGTTACGTGCGGTGTTGTATGGGAAGTTTTATGAAACAATTGATCGACAAGTCTTAATAGGAACATTCTCTGTAGGGTCTCCGTACGTCGAAGATACATATGGAACACACAAGATGCGTACTAGCCAGCCCGAGCTCTCGAGTTTGATTAAAAAATTCAAACTCCGCAGCAAGTCGTTGGTACTCTAATATCTCTTTGTTTTGTTTGATCATTTATTTGAGATAAATGATCGATGTCGAACGTTGGCGAAAACGAGGGCACGCATTAAATGTAAACGTCACGCCATGTTTGCTCGCTATCGTTCTTTAACGATCTCATAGTGATTCTGCAGGAAAATCAAGCGTCGAATTTAACCAATCACCGGGGCAGAACTTTTGCTCGTATACAAAATTTAAGGACACGCGTTACATTCATGGTACACGATGATAACGATTGACAATAAGATTGGCGTTCGACGCGTCTCATGCTAGATTTAAAGAAGGAGAAGGTGGAGGAGGATAAGAATACAATGAGGGGAGGAAAAAAAATATATTAACAGGAGTACCAAATGCTTTTAACGACGCTGAACAAACTGCGACCTCGGTGCAGTGCTGTACTCTAACATAAACTTAGTATTATAGTTTTATTATTAAACTAGACGATAGATCAGACAAGACATCCACACAACAGATATACATATATTACGTATAAGAGTATATGTTAAATATTAACGCAATGATTACGATTTACATTGTTATAAATGATCGTGTATAAAGCTATATAAGTGATCTTAAGTTTTAATCGAGTGCGAGAGCTAAAGGCAAGAGGGATGCCATTACACGTTTTTACAAATCTCTTCATTTTTTTTTTTTTTTTTTTTTCGAATCAACTTTTCATGCTTTTCTTTTTTTTCATTGCTGAAAAGGGCACGTACGAGGTAAATCGTAGAAGGCTATAAAGAGTATAAGGTAGACAGAAGAATCGTACGAAATTTAATTCGTTCTTTTTCTAAAAAAATACCGTTTATTATATTCGTTTTTTAATAATTTTTACTCTGCCTTTCGGTTTGCTCTTTTTTTTTTCTTCGTCCATTTCCTGGTCTTCTTTTGAGACCCAATGGGACTTTCTGTATACAAATATTTTACGTGCTATCCCACCCTCGTCGTCGATTCGCCATTCTTATCGAACGGAAATTGCATAGGATAGTCAGAGAGAAGTGCGCATGCGCGATAGATCGAGAGAATGACATGTTTGTACTTCATATAATCACCGAACTTTATACCGTAATAAGTATCTTCTGTATTTTACTTTCTGCGGATCTTACCGCGAATGACTTCTTTTTCTTTTTTTTCTTTTTCATACTTTAGAGTATCGTTGTGTTTTTAATCTTTCTTAATGAGTTTCCTCAGCGACGCTATATTCTCACAGGTCATTGAAACCGTTTGAATAATTTAAAACCTGTTATGTACGTCTTGTCTATCGGTCTGTCCGTCTGATATCTGCCCTTGCCTAAAACGACAGACCATTCAATGATCGTCAGTCTTTCTCTTAGTTCAGTTCATTTTTTAAGTTAAGAAATTTTCCAAATTTCTATTTTATTTTCAACACTCACCATGCACACTGTTAAGAGGGTCAACCTCCTTCATTTTTTTTTTTTGAATTTTAGTACACCGTCACATTAATTCGCACAGCGAATAATGAAGGACTGCACCTGTGCTCGCAAAGTTTCGTACTTAATGAAATCCACAATGTTTTCGTAAATATTTTTCTTTTTTCTTTTTGTACACTCGACAAAAGGGACCATCAAAATCAATCGAAGATATTTTATTTGTTCTTTTTCTTAGGGTGATTAGTCTTTTTGTTTTTGGGAGGAGATCAGTCCTCTCGTAAACTTATCCCAACGCCACTGAACCCGCCGTCGCAATTTTACATTGACAACCCCCCTTACCTCCCTCCTCACCGGTTCACTTGGTTTTATTCTATTGTTTTCCTCGTAAATGCAAAATCTTTGAATGAAACGATTGGATCTTCTTTATATCGCCAAATGACAGTGTCCATTACGAGTAGGGCGAATGGGTTTTAATGGCAATTTTGCGTGAAAGTGGAACAACGTATTTTCTGTTCCCCTTACATCTTGTTTTGTTTCCCCCTTTTTTTAAGTAATTCATTTTCTTGTCCTTTATTCTGATTGTATGTACGCTTTCGAGCGGAGCTTGCCTACCGAGCAGTAAACAATAATTGTAATCACCGGAATACTTATACTTTAAGAATAGATTAATATTAATTTACCGTATTGTTACTTTAATTAACTGTTAACGAAACAAGTGGCAATGTATTTTGATCTCTCTTTTAGTCAGAAATATATCCTTTTTTTGTCGTTCGTTTTGGGTGAGAAAGAAATTCGCTTAAGTGGGGACGTCGAACGGATTTGAGGAAACGATGGAATTTGATTATATTTGACAGTAGCGTATATGGTATGATAATTTCTATTTGCAAATTGGCAGCTTCTGTACTTCGTAGTTATTGTTACTTTTTATAATTGTATATCGCAATGCCGCGCGGTACCGCCTGCGTTTCCTGTTTTATTATTTTTTATTACTTCTCTTATTTTTTTTTCCTCTGTATTTTAAACGCAATAAGAATAACGGTGTGACGTCCGCGAGAAAACTGTGGATGTTGGTGTATATCGATTTGAATCACAGAAATGCTGTTACGCCCGGGTACTTGGACAATTTTTATAAAAATTTTGAAAAATTTTACAAGAGGATTGATCTTTCACTCAACTGCATTAGTCACGCGAATTTTGAGTCGGATATGTGTATTTAATCTATTGGAACTGGAGACTGAAAATTGTTTCTTTTTTTTTTACTTTGATACTCGGGTATTGATTTTTTTTAAAAAAAAAAAAAGAAAATAGCATCCTGCGATAAGCATCGATATTCACGTAGAAGGAATTGCGAGAGCGTTTTATCCTTTTCGTATACAGGCAATATTTTAAAGGAGAATTTTCGAATAAATTTATTTTAATAACGTGTAAAGCGAAAACAAGCGACACGACAGCAACAGCAACAAGAAAACAATACTGTGAATTGCGAATTTGAGGGAAATGGGGAAAAAGAAAGGAGGACCGACACTAATATTATTAACATTAACGATTAATGATTTTAAAGTAAGCGAATTACATTTATAAGGAAAGATTATGAAAATATATATTTATCTATGTCTTCTGTGAAGATAGAAAATAGTACTCTCTCACGCTATATTGATGATATCGGAAATCGAGAACCGAGACAAAACATACAAAACGGCAGAGGTAGTTTAAGGCGAGAAGAAAAATAAAAGAACGGCAGACCCACGCATAGATATACATCATATAGTCACACTGCAGAAAAAGAAAAACAAAAAAAAAAGAGGAAGACATGAAGCAGCTCGCATTGTTCACAATACACGATACAATCTATAGCACATTCAGATTTGTTAAATATCTTTGTACATATTTACATAAAGACCATCATCGAGGAAAAGAAAAAGAGAGAAATAAGAAAAAGAATACGATAAAGATATCTCAAGTTCCAGCGGCAATTTTATTTCTTTCGCATTTTTTTTTAACTTTTCTTCTTTTTCTTTTACGATTTCCTTCAGGCGCACTGACGTGTTCACACGATTGTAGAATATCAGTTCGACAATGAAAACGAAAAATAGTTTGCGCTTCGTTCGTTAGAACGCCTTTTCTATTTTTAAAAGACGAATGTCGAAGTCGAAAATTGCGCCGGAACAAGAACTGGTAGCAAATGCCAGTGTATCAGGTGAACAATCGTTTGCGTTTTAATCGCCAAATCAAAAATCAATAGGTTTTCTTTTCTTTTTTTCTTTTTTCTTTTTTTTTTAACTATTAACCTTGTAACGCCTTATTTAAGTTTAACCGGGAACTCATTTATTGTTCAGCTTGCTTGTCGATGAACGTTAAAGCGTAGATTATGTTCATGGGCTTTCAGTTTTTGGGATTGACGTTAAATCAATTGCTACAGATTAATGAAATAATTGGCTGAATTTATCGAAGACAGATCTCTTTCTCGTGCAAAAATGAATTTCTGGTATTACAATCGTCTCCTCCCCGAAAACCAATGAAAATTCGTCTTTGTCCATATCCTGGAACTGCCATATCAAAGAATTGAGCTTGATCATAAATAAAAAAAAAAGAGAAACATGATTAAAAATATTGAACGGAGGAAATATAAAAAGAAAAAGCGAGGAAACCTACCTGTATATTAATATTATCATAAATGAAACGAAATGAGGATCAAAGTAGTTGATTTAACGAGTAAATGAGAATAAATGAAAAAAATTATATATCATTAAATTAGAGGTTTAAAATATAATAGAACTCAGTATATGTACAGTATTTGAAAAACATGTTTATAATTTGTATGGAAAAATAAATAATTGATATAAAATTAGACGAAACTTTCTTTCGCTTCTTATTTGCTTTTCATCATTATAAACATTTTCTAGCTTTGCTAGATTTTCATTTAAAAATTTCTCCAACCCGTCTACCTTCTTGTGATTTTTTTGCAATCATTATTACGTGGTAACACGTACACCCTTACTAACCTCATTAGGCAACAATAACTGTTGGTGCTACTAAATCAAAATTTATAACTTCAATTAAAAAATTAATGACTAGAAATTACACGTTGGAGACCAAAAATTTGATATCGCTACCATTGCCACTAATTGGGGTGAGCAGCTTAGGAGGGGACAATATCCTCATTGGTTGGTTAGGCTGTGGGCAATTGGTGGAGGAAGCGATAACAGTGGCGTCAGCAGCAGATTTAGTATATGGCCAATCGTTCACGAGAAATGTTTAGATTCTGTTATCGGATGTTATCAGATTTGTGTATATATGTCGTGTAAACTGACAAAGGTGTCAGTCGAGCATCACAGCGGGTACCGGTTAGTTACTTGTAAATACTCTGTAAGTAATATTTTGCAAATTTTTCTAGTTATGTTATACCTTGCGTAAGTAATTTAATATTTTGTACATTCTAAGAGATTTTGGTATTCCACTAAACATTATTGATGATCATTGAATTGCGAATTTCTCAAGTGCATGCTCCCAAGTTTTCATTAATACAATTATTATAAGGGCTGAAGATTAATGCATTTTCTTAATGTTTTATATGGATAATACTGATGTATTTCTTGTTTCACCATTTGTGTTTCTTCAATACGCATCCTTGCCACGTCAAACGTTCGCACTTTCTCTTTAATTATATGTTATTCCAAGTGATGTTTTTTTCAGAAGAAAATGCACTCAGGGCATACCACATTATAATTGCTGGTTTTTATACATTCCTAAAAGTGCTCCTGCCTTCATATGATGAATAAGAAACAACGTAAGGTTCCTGATGTTATGTATATTTAATTAGTATGATAGAAAATATAGGGGATATAAAAAAGTGGACTTTAATAATGTTGTGTTCTGTTTTCAGAAAATGTACAATTGCTGAAGTACGTGAGCTTAGTAACCCTCACTCTTCAAAATGCTATGCTGGGACTTAGTATGCGCTATGCCCGTACCAGGTCAGGAGATATGTTCTTGTCTTCAACCGGTAAGTGTTACAATCTCAAATAATTAAAAAAATTTTATTATAGTTTAATTTTTGTCGTAGCTGTGGTAATGGCTGAGCTTGCTAAGCTTATAACGTGTTTGGTGCTTGTTTTCCTAGAAGAACGTACACTGAAAAAATTTATATATGTTCTGAAAGTAACAATTTTGGATGAACCAATGGATACTTTAAAAGTTTGTGTACCATCTCTAGTGTACATTGTACAAAACAATCTATTATACGTGTCTGCGTCTCATCTTGATGCAGCGACGTACCAGGTAAATAATTATGAAATGGCTAGAACAAACAAAAGTAGTTATAAGCCATTAATAAGCTATGGTAAACATTACTTTCAGGTGACCTATCAACTAAAAATCCTAACAACAGCTTTCTTTGCGGTCACTATACTCCGTAGGAGTTTAAGAACAGTTCAGTGGGGCGCGCTGGTACTCTTACTCGTAGGGGTAGTTTTGGTGCAATTAGCACAATCTGGCCCTCAAGCAGTACCATCTGGCGTAGAACAAAATCGTTTAATTGGTTTTTCAGCCGCATTAATTGCATGTTTTTTATCTGGATTTGCCGGTATTTATTTTGAAAAAATCCTCAAGGGTTCAGACATATCAGTGTGGATGCGTAATGTTCAACTAAGTTTTTTGTCTCTTCCCTTTGGTCTGTTCACGTGTTTCTTAAATGACAGTGCTACAATACATCAGCATGGTTTCTTTTTTGGGTACGATTGGTTCGTACACTATTTGATTTTATTACAAGCTGGTGGAGGACTGATTGTTGCAATGGTCGTAAAACACGCTGATAACATTCTGAAAGGCTTTGCCACATCATTGGCCATTGTTATCTCTTGCGTTGCTTCAATCTATTTGTTTGATTTTAAACTTACTTTTCAATTCGCATTAGGAGCCACTCTGGTCATATGCTCCATCTTTATGTATAGTCATGAGCCTAAAATTATTCAATACCCGAATAAGCACACAATCGCTAATAAGGTATGAGCAGAGTGAATCTAGGTACCTTTTTCAAATTTAGGAATGAACCTCCTGGTTTTGTAAATAATAATAACTCATGACAGTTATGTATGATTGTCGGTAAGATAATATATCGGGCACACGAATAATTGGGATTTAGGGAAGAAGTGATTATTTAATTAATCTATGCGAACAAATAAAATTTACTGAATTAATACTAATCTCCCAAAGTAATTCGTGCTTGCTTGAAATTTAACAAGTTAGAGACTCTTATTTGTACTTTCGTTTCGATTTATATTTGTATATTTTGAGTTATTCAGAAAGTAGAAAATCAACTTACGTTTTTCGTGACTACAGCGCGAGTCATGCTATTTTGTTCCTATTGCTGATAATAATTCGATAAAAATGTTTATTATATCAATTCACTTATATGTTTCTCTCTTTGTTTCAAACCATCATTAACACTCTTACTGATTTCCATATATCTGCAAGAGAAAGAGTTTAACATTGTCATTATATTCAAAATGTAATATATCGTAAAATATAATTAAGATTTAATGCCGCTAATTTTAGCGAAGTGCGGATTGGAACGTTTTGGCAAAAAGATAGTCATTATACAAATTCATTGAAAAATTTTTATTTCTAGAACTATTTTTTATAATTATTCACATACATATTTTTATACGACGTTAACGGTATTAACAATACTTGTACATAATTCGAATTTTAACGAATACACTATTTGTATGAACTATATTATAAACTAAATGATTTATTAATAGGTAATAATAAATATGAAATTTATATATGTACTTTATTGTAACAGGAAATGCACTTATGTGCAAAAAGCGATAAGAATTATTATACTATACCAAACCGACTTTAATGTTTAACACTAAACATACCGACAATTTTTTATAAGCGTATTTTTGGCTTTAAAAGGGTCAAATGACCCGTCGATGGTACGCTTAGTGTTAAATAAGATTAAGGAAAATATTTTATTCGCTCCAAACATTCACCACTTTGAATCTAGTTACAACACGAAATTCACTATAATACCAACAATGCTTAATAATTTCAAGTAGAATAGAATTAGGAACGGTCTCGAGCCATAATTATAGTTGTGAAACCAAGTAAATCTATATTCTTATAATAAATTGATCCTTTATTATTCTACAAAGTATTTAATATACCGTTGTTTGGCTACATTCAAGCGCCATTCACTTCCTAGGAAAATAAAACAAATCCGGACAGAGTACGGTTGGCCAAACTGCAAGCTGTAAGAAACTACTGATAAGTCGTTCGTGCAGCGACCATTTGCTTCTCCCGCGTATAAATAAAATTGAAGAAGAATGACTGAGCCGCAGTGCAAGAAAGTCAAGATGCCGAGCTCCTTGGAACAACTGAAATCCGTGACAACGGTGGTCGCAGACACCGGAGACTTCGAGGGTAAGTTATTTATTTGAAACATTACACGGCCAGTGGATATCGAGTGTTAATCGCAAGATTTTTTGATAATCAGGTCACCGGCGAAGGTGATTGTCATTATTGAACTATGGTGGGGAAAGATATAACTGAGCATAGTAAGAGGAACTTCAATGACTATTGCTTGAACATTAATTACCAATAAAATTCTTTAAGACCTTTTCATTAGAAATTTACAAGTTTATTCATAAATTCTGCACCTTGATCGACCCGCCGGTTCACGTGGGACAAACTCCAAACTATAATTTATTCAAATTTTAATTATCTCCGATAATACTAAACTAATTAATGTTTGACTCTCTACAAATGAGACCTAATAGCCTAGGAGAAATATTTGCTTATTGTGTATCATAATTAATATTTAGAACTGCTATCGTGGTATACAATTTCGTATGTGAATTAGCCAAAATGCAATAATGTATTTTTAAGGTCGCAACACAGGTGGTCAATTTAAAAAAATGTAACTGCAACAAGTTGCTTGTATCACTAATAATACTTTTATCGTACGATCCCTGTGTTACAATGATATCATTATATCGGGCACACCTCATTTTTTCGTAAACGACGAACGTAAATTTTTAATACTATGTAATTCATCTTTTGACTACGTAACATATGAGGGAAAAAGTAGCGAGCGCTCGAAATTCGCAGTGACCTTCGATGACTGTGGAAGTTTGACCTTTTGACACCCAATTCAACACGCGACTGTCGTTTGATATGAAGTAGATTGTGGAAACATGTTTTTAGATTCTTCGATTCAGATCGTGAATGAGATTATTATGTGAAATAACACATACTGCAGTGTTATGTTTAAAATATAACTATTCAAATTCATCTGTATCATTTTCATTGCAGACCTACTTATTTAATTTACGACTAAAAAGAATTTACACTTTTTTTAAATATGTATCAATTGTTAAGAATCGTTTTATTCTCACAGCTATGGAAAAATTCAAGCCTACCGATGCTACTACCAATCCTTCTTTGATACTAGCAGCTGCCAATCAAAAGAAGTATGTTCCATTACTGGATAAAGCTGTTCAATATGGCAAGAAAGTTGGATCGTAAGTAATTATATAAATTTTGGTTTATTAGAATAACTTTATTGTCCATTAAAAATACGAGTTAAATGTTAAATTCTTGTACAGCACCCTGGCTGAACAAACTGAAGCAGCTATTGACATGACTTGCGTCCTCTTTGGTTTAGAGATTCTCAAAATCATACCTGGTCGCGTTTCCACTGAAGTTGATGCTAGGTTATCTTTCGATAAGGAAGCTAGTATCGAGAAGGCAAAAAAGCTTATTGCTCTTTATGAGGAAGCTGGAATCAGCAAAGAACGTGTGTTGATTAAGCTAGCCTCCACCTGGGAAGGAATACAAGCAGCTAAGTAAGAGAACATCTTTAAAATAATTTTGTAAAATTACATTTTGATGAAACATGGATAAGGTGAACATATTTTCTTATTATATTTTCAGGGAGCTTGAAGACAAATATGGAATACATTGTAACTTGACTCTGTTGTTCTCTTTTGGGCAAGCTGTTGCTTGTGCTGAAGCTGGCGTTACACTTATTTCACCTTTCGTTGGCAGAATATTGGATTGGTAAGTTTTAAATATTTTTTTGTAAAACTTCATTACGTATAGAATATATCTTTGTCTAGAATAGTTTTATTTCTGTACTCTGGTAAAGCAGCAGTAAAATCTATATTGTGATACTTTATTTAGGTACGTTGCAAACACTGACCAGAAGTCATTCGATGCCAAGGAGGATCCTGGTGTCATATCCGTGACTAAAATTTACAATTATTACAAAAAGTTTGATTACAAGACCGTTGTGATGGGGGCATCATTCCGTAATATTGGTAAGACTTGTAAGAAATTTATTCAGATATAGATTTCTCTATCTATAAAAATATATCTTCTGTATAATTTAGGAGAAATTCGAGAATTGGCCGGGTGTGATCTTCTGACCATCAGTCCAAAACTTTTGGAGGAATTGGAAAAGAGCAACGAACCTATTCAAAGCATTCTCAACCCTGCAACAGCTAAGAAGTCAGATCTTAAGCAGATCAACCTTGACGAGGCAAATTTCCGGTGGCTTCTTAATGAAGACCAAATGGCTACAGATAAGCTATCCGACGGTATTCGTAAATTTGCTGTGGATATGCGAAAACTGGAAAAACTTCTTCAGGAGAAGATTCAAGGATAAATACTTTGTTTTATGTTAATTGTTCGATATATTGTAAATAAGCGATGTCAGAGCAGAGTTCATGGTATTTTTTTAAAACAAGCATTTTTATGAACAACATTCCATTATGGTGTCCATAGATTGTCATATTGGTAATTACAGTACACATGATATTATTGATGAAACAATAAAACGGAGATACACTGTATATGATCTGCCTTTAGGTTTGTCTTGTATCAAAAAGTGGTACATTCCATTGGTTTTTAAAACTACTTAATATTGCACCTCTGGGATGTTGTATCTCAGAAGCGAATTGAAAGGGTGGTTTAATTTATAATAAATGAAAAATTCAGGATAGCAGACTTTCCACGATAGAAAAGTCCAATGAAGAGGTTGATACATTAAAATGGTAATTATTAAATAAATATTTTTAACCGAAATATCCTGTATATGAATGATTATGGGGAAGTCCATAATGCAAGCAAATTACTGAAACGTAGTATTAAAATTTTGTTGTCCAACTACAAGGCAGTGTTTGTCGGTAAGGGAGGGGGAGGATATCTATAAGAAAATATCGGTTTCCTTTCATGGTGTTTTGGATTTCCCCGTCCTCTCCAATGCATCAATTAATTAAATCAATGAAGTAAAATATTAACATTCAGAAATCGGAAATTTCATTAAAAGCATATTTAGAAGTACTGGAAGTTGCCCAAAATTGTGTGCGCGCAGGACTCGGCGAGTGGGAGCAGGCGCATGGTGGGGGGAACGTCGAGGCAGTGCCGGGACTAATCGCTCATTTATCCTCGAGCCGGTCTCCTATACTGGTCTCCTGGAAGCACCCCTCTTATTTTTTCCAACCTTCTTCTTTTTCTATATTTATTTCTTCCTTATTTCCTTATTTCTTTATCTTTTATTCTTTACTTTCTTATTTATCTCTTTCCTTATTGCTTCTTTACTTTTACAACTCTATTCCTTACTTTTCTACTTCTTTATTTCTTTATTTCTTTTTATTTCATTCTTTACTTTCTTATTTATCTCTTTCCTTATTTCTTCTCTA